CCTCTGCCGGGGATTGCTACCAGTTGGCCACCTTCCCAGAATTCTCCCAGTTCTTTTGTTCTTGATTGCTTATAATTCTGCTCCATCTTTGTTAGTTATTTTCTTCAGATGGGTTTGGGATTGGTTTGTTCTTTCTTTTCCTGTTCCTCGAGCTGATCCATGAGGTTGGTGATTTCTCTGATTATTAGATATAGGCATGTAAGGTGATGTATTTCCTTCTCAGGTTTTTTGTTTGTTTGTTTGTTTGTTTGTTTGTTTTGCAGGTCCCATGGATTTTGATAACTTGTTGCCCCATTGTCATTTATTCCTAGAATCTTTTGATTTCCATCTTCTTTTTTATCCCCCTCCCTGATTTCTTTCTTTATCTACTTCTTGGCCTATATCATTCAGCAATATTTTGTTTCATTTTCATCATTTTGTGTAAAGATGAGAATTTCTGTTGGAATTGATTTCTAATTTTATTCCACTGTGGTCTAAGAACATACATGGAATAATTTATATATTTTTTTAATTTATTGAGACATGTTTTGGGACCTAGGATGTGATCAATATTAGACAATGATCCATGACTCGATGAGAAGAATGTCTATTCAGTAGTACTGGGGTGGAATGTACTATAAATGTCTGTTAGGCCCATTTTTTGTTTTCTAAAGTTGTATTTAAGTCTGATGTTTCTTTGTTTATTTTCTGCTTAGATCTGTCTGGTTCTGTCAGTGGGGTGTTGTAGTGTCTGGACATTACAGTGCTGTTGCTTATCATTTTGTTTAGATCAAGTAATATTTGCTTTATAAATCTGGGTGCACCTGTGTTGGGTATATAAATGTTTAGGATTGATAATGTCTTGTTGAATTGTTCCCTTGACCAATATATAATGACTGTCTTTATCTTTGTTACTTTTATTGCTTTGTTGTTAATGGTATTTGCGATGAAAATTGCTTGCTACTCTGGCTTTTTTTTTTTTTTCCATTTTCATGGAATATTGTTTTCTATACGTTTATCTTGAGTCTGGATGTGTACTTGAGGGGTGAGATGTGTTTCCTGAAGATAACAGATATTTGGCTTGTATTATTTTATCCATTCACCCAGCCTATGTCTCTGCCCAGTTATTGTTAATCCTTTTTTCACCTTACATATGCAGGGACCACCTTCCTACTTTTTCACTGTACATACTTTCCTTATCTGGAATTTCATAAAAATAGATTCATATAATCTCTGGTTTTCTGTGAGTGGCTTCTTTCACTTAGTATAATGTTTTCATGGTTCATGCATACATGTGTCATGAATCAATACCTCATTCCTTGTAATTTCCAATTAAGAAAAGATTCCATTGTATGGATATGCCACAATTTGTATATCTAGTTACTCATAGGAAGACATTTTGGTTGTTTGCAGTTTGGGGTTATTATGAATAATGCTGCTGTGAACATTCTCCCTTTGGTTCACAATACACATCTGTGTTGGTGGGCAGCATCCCAGGCCATACTTTCATGTATGTTTTTCTGCCTTCTGTGGCACTTTCCAGGTACCATTCTGACTTACTGCAAACGGTATAACTGAGGACTCTACAGATTCCCAGAAGTTGGATGAAAAATGACCATGCATAAAGTGAGTAAGATTTTGCCCTGTCTTACTGTTAAAAATCTGATCTCACTATTTACATTGTCACATATTTTTCTCTGTCTTGGGAAGACTCAAAGAGAATAATAGGCATTTGAGACCCTGTTGTTTTTAGTTCTTGTTTTCCTATATTAGTTTTTTATGAAGTAGAGAAAATATTAAGAATGGGTAATTCTTTCATTTTACTAATTCCCTGCTCACAAATTAGCTGCTTTTATTCTTCTTTTACTACATTCTATTCCTTGTATACATATATAATTGTTTTCTTTTGATGGTATTCTTCTAAGTTGTACTCTTTTTATTTAGCATTATATAACATTCATTTTTATGGTCGTATTCTTTTTTTTTT